TCTCCAGTGCTGGCTTAGTAAGGTTGCCTTTGCCCCCACTGTCTGTCTAACTAGAAGAAGCACTTCTTGCCTGACACAGGTTTCTCTGCAGAACAATTTGATGAAGCACACCTCACGGGGACGTCTCAAAGACTAATGAGATAATGTCTAGAGGATGGACAGTGCTCTGAAGGCTGATGTACGGTGCTATCACCACCTCCTGATAGCAAGAGACTTGGACAAGGCTGCAGCATGGGAAGCTAGTACTAGATAAAGGAACCGACACTAGCTAGAAAAGTGCCAGCACCTTCATCTACAATGAGGTACACACCATTGGTAGGCACCCACACCTTGCATGATGGTCCTTAGTTCAGGACATCAGCACAACAGAGGTATCAGTATAACGTACTTAATTTCTACAGGTTTAAGTGTCCTCAACTGCAGAAACACAAATCCCTTGTACCTCTTCCGTGGTCAAAGCGTAGAGTAAAAATGCTTACACAATAAAGAACCCAAAGAATGGCAACTCTATCCTTCAAGTTGAAGCACTATAAGGTACTACCATAAGGTACCTACACTTTGAATGGCATGAACTTCATGTAAAGGACTAGACCTCTGAAACTCAGATTAGGCTATGAACAGTAGTCTGGGTGCCCACGTTAACAGAAACATGTTAACCAAAAAGTGGGACTCACTGCACACAGTACTAGCCATTTCTACATTGGACAGGGCTTCCTGAAAAAGCAGCAGCCCCACTTTTCAGACTCTTGCATACATGGCTAACCCTGAACAAGTCAAATGAATCCTAAGTTCACCTCCCTTTGTATAATTTTATATGACTATGCAAACATTTCCACAGCCTCCAGCCTCCTAGAGTTAACTACTTCATTAAGTACCTATTTACCAAAAGGGGCATTGGGGAGAAGAAAACAGACACTGGACCCTAACTGACATCAACAAAAGATACTGCTCCAGGCCAGGGAAAAGAAGATCACAACGTGAGGAGCCTTCACGGTGAACTCCCCACATGAGGAGAAAGGAACAGCCCCCAGTGAGAACAAGAGGGTGCAGAAAACACACAGGAAGGCAGCCAGAGAGCACGCAACGAGGAGGAGACATTCAACACCAAGCTGGCAGTTCACACGGAGTGCACCACGGAGGTCAATGATCCAGCGACTGGAAACCTGCTGTCTGCCGAAGGACCGTGAGCATCTATGGAGTCTGTTAGCAAGGGGGCCTGGATCACAATGCACGCAGCCATGTAGAACATGACTTCCTGCACAGCAAGGCGTGGTGAAGGAGCGTGAGCATCTATGGAGTCTGTTAGCAAGGGGGCCTGGATCACAATGCACGCAGCCATGTAGAACATGACTTCCTGCACAGCAAGGCGTGGTGAAGGAGCGTGAGCATCTATGGAGTCTGTTAGCAAGGGGGCCTGGATCACAATGCACGCAGCCATGTAGAACATGACTTCCTGCACAGCAAGGCGTGGTGAAGGAGCGTGAGCATCTATGGAGTCTGTTAGCAAGGGGGCCTGGATCACAATGCACGTAGCCATGTAGAACATGACTTCCTGCACAGCAAGGCGTGGTGAAGGAGCGTGAGCAACTATGAAGTCTGCTAGCAACGGGGGCCTGGATGAAAACACACGTGGTCATGTGGAAGGCGACTGTCTGCTCAGCAAGGCGTGGTGAAGAAGCAGCCTGAGTCAGTGCCAGAGAGGGCCAAGAATCAGAATGCCGATTTTGCCTATTTTGCATCAAAGTCTGGCACAGGGCAGATGGCTCCTAACTACACATTCCAAGAAAACACCTCTGGAAATACATAATTTTGAATAGAAATCTAAAGCAACAAATTTTTAAGTGACCAAAAAAGAACCAGGCTACTTAGCAGACCAAACAGTCTAACAAATTGCAACTTGAACACAACGGTTACCAAGGCAATGGAAATTCTGTACTTAGGGAACATGAGTTATGGGAATGAGTCATATGTCATTTGTAAAGGCTGTACTAAATGATTAAAAATATTGAGATTTGACTTTAGATTCTGTCTCTCAGATGGCTAGGAGGAAATCCCAAGGAAATGCCAAGTTAACACCCTATTCTAATGAAAGGACAATGACTAGGCCATGTAAGCTACTGCAGTGCAAGCATTAAAATACCATGTGTGTGTGCAGACACACAGAAAGAGGCTACAAAAAGGAAAGAATGTCCCTGATTCTTTTAGGTTATCAGTCACACCCTATATTACTACATGGAAGATATCAGACTTCACTCAATGTACTCTCATGAATGCTCCTTAGTAAAAAGATCAGAAATGGCAGGTAGTAAACAGGAGGCGGTAAGGAGAACTCACAACCAGGAGGCTCGTGATTCAGACACTTCAAGGACCAACACACACTCTTCTGCCACTCCCTCAATGTGAAATGACCAGGGCATGGACTCACATGTGTCACAGCTCATACCATCCCTGGAAGTGAGCACTGCACTGAGGAGGCAGTAACACGGGCAGCAATCACACACAGTGCGGTCACAAAGCCAAGCCAATCAGATCCATGCTGATTCACTTCTGCTGATCTTCTCAGATGTGGAGCTTTGCTAGACTACATGCAAACACAGTAGTGAGCAAGCATGAGCTGCTACTACAACTAGCATCCTGGATTCAAGACACAGCTCCAGAAGGAACGAAAGAAATGGCTGGCCACAAATGAACAGGGAAAAAACAAAAACCTCTAGGCTCCAAGAGCATGGTGGTTACTTTACCTAAGGGAGTATTCACAGTGGGACAACAGGTATCCCCGCACCTGAGATGCAGGCCACCAAATCTACCAGCACAGTCCAGCAGCTTCCCTCCAATACTCCGTCTCCACATTCCAGACACCTCACAATCATGTCTGGGACTCTGGCAGGAAAGATTTCTCCGATCATGACTCTGGTGCCCTAATCAAGGCTGCCCTAATCAGCTTGCATGTGCACAGGCACACACACTCCCTTGTGGTGGCTCTTCATTACCAGGAGCCATGCTCAGCAGCTGCAGAGGACTGAAGGGAATTGCCAGAGTGTGCAATGATGTGCTAGCCAGCCCCCAGAGGTAAGCACTGTCCTGCCTACACCCAGAGGCCAGCACGTCTCAACTCATGGGCCAGTGCTTTCAGGTGGTAAGGCAAGAAAAGCAGTTTACATCTGGGATGTTCCAGCCTGATGGAGCTGAGCTGCAATGCTAGCCCCTACACAGAGATACAGTATTCATCATTTATAGATGTCAGTACAGGGGACAAAGCCTCAACACAAATACAACCAGGGATCGAGGATTTCTCCTATTAAGAAGGAACCTAATTTTAAGAAGGGACACCATATCTGACACCTAAGGTCACTCTTCTTCAAGGCACGAGAGTCCTTGAGAGCAGACCAATGGGCTAATCTTTCTGGACAATTCACGGGCTTCCAGAATAAGTTCTTATCTATGTTCCTAGACCCCAAGCAGAACAAGCGGTGGACAATCTCCAAGAAGCAGGTGGATATCATAATATGTGCCTGACTACTGGCTGTTCGTGAATCAAACATGCATGTTCACCCCCGCCAATGTCATTTGGATGGATTTCAGAAGAAAGCCATACTTGGGAGGGAAGTTTTCAGTTGTCTATATGCAATTGTTTATGAGCCAATAAGTGAGTGATGTCACATCAACTTGGTGAAATTGAGATGTTAGACATTAGATCAGATACAGGAGGTCTACAAATTGAAAGAGACTTAAAGCTACCATTTGTGCTGTACTTCATGAATGAATACAACATCCTGTCAAGTTTTATAGAATGACAAATGAGCCTGTTCTCTGAAGGAACCTGAGGAGATTTAACAGTAATTTTTAGGAAATCTTCTTTGGTTGTTCTACTTCAAAATTAGCAATTTAATCTTATCTCCGACTTCAAAATCTCTTGCTACAATTTATCATCGCACTGATAACAGTATATATAACAACATGACTAACAGTTATGTCTAAGAAACACTATTTTGGCATTAGTTCAAAGACCAGAGCTCTTACTAAACCAGTCAAAAATATTAATACTTAAGGTAAAAGACGTTATTATGACTTTAAAAAAAAACACAAACAAAAAACCAGAATGGCTTTACTTTTGTGAAGATACCATTAAAAATGACCCAAAATAAGGTATTTATCCTAGAATATCAACTGAAGCTAGCTAAGCAAAAGATGAATCACAGTCCTTCCCCAAATTACCACCAAAGAACAATTCTTTTGTTGTTGTTGTTCATCGTGTGACAGAACTTCCCAGAATTTGGAGTACAGGGATGTCAGGGAAGGGAAGGCAAAGCTTCAAGGTAAACAACCAGCTCCCAAGAGCAGCGAATTCTTATCATAAAACATCATCATTAATGTTCATCTAACCAAGAACAGCAGGAAATGCACTGCCAAGCTACTGAACTGGACCACAAGGCCACTGTGCCACAAGGTCTACATGGGCACTATCAACAAGCCCCACACCCCCTTTTCATAAAAAAGCTCCCACAACACCTTCTGTGGAGGCTGTCAGAAATTCTACCAGCCTCAGAAGCACACAGTGCAGACTCAGCACACAAAGTTGCAGCAAACATGCACCAGCCCAGAAACCCACCCTCCCACCTCGACAGCCAACCCACACTAACAGGTAGGCAACCATTCTTCACCAATAAAGCCACCAGCATCAGACATTCAATGGGGGTGGCTGAAGAGAACAAGAACGCCAAGTGAATGGAGCTCAGGGCAACATGCAATTATTGAAATGGAATTGAGCCTGGAATTTACCGTGAGAGTATTGGCAATCAAACTGTGGTCAGGGCCCCAATTTTAAACCTTTACCAAGGGGCACCACTCCTGACACACAGACACGCCTCTCTTCATATCAAAGTGATTCCACTTGACTGGTGGAGGACTGTCGTTTGCTGGTAAAAGGCCCGGTTAGAATAACAGCCTCTGAGGGGTTAGAATAAACGCAACGTCCCAACTAGGCTTCTTCCATGACTTACCTTCTTCCCAATTAGCTTTTTTCGAAGAAACTCCCGGGCCTCAAACATGTAAGGAATATCATACAGAGGGCGTAGCTTCTTGTTTTTATCCTAAAAACAAAATAAATTGCCACATCAGAAATGAAAAAGACAAAAGAATCACAGCTAAGGCAAACACTGGAGCGTATCTGAAATCATAATCGTAACAAATGACTAATAAATATTTCCTGGAAATAATTTATTACAAATTCATTTGTTGGCACCATAGAGGGCTAAAAATAAGCAACGGAAGTTTGTAGTTACCCAAAATGGAGACATAAAGGTTAGCAAAAGGAAAACAATTAAGGAAACTAACATACAAGGATGAATTTAAATACACTACAAACCTAATTCTGCTACTCCAGACAGCTCTAATAGGCATCAACCAACACTCGACTTTGCAAGGTAAATCTCTAATATGTAATAGTGGAATAAAAAATTTTATCATCTAAGGGAATAACCGAAGAAATATTACAAAGATGAAATGCAAGACTACTGCAAACTCTTCACAAATGCGGCAGGCTTTCATAGAGTTCATCCTAACTACAGATCTATCTTCTTGCCTTGGCTTTAGACTCCCACATCTCACGTCAGAGTTCTTGTTGGAGTCCCAGTATCTCTGCTTCTGATACTGCTTGCTGCTAATGTGCCTGGCAAGACAGGGGGTGATGTCAGGAGCCGTGTACTGTAGCCACACTGAAGCCATTTTGAATATAGAACTATGGGCCCGGCTGGCTAGATGCTTGGGAAAGAAGTTATGAAACTAATCACACACTTAGCTTCAATTGTTTTTAGCAACTGTTTCAGAATGTGATTTATGCTGTACCTGCCGACATCTTGTTACTGGTTACTATGCTATTGTTGATATGTTGGTTACTATTGTTGATATGGTGGCTGCTCAAGAACAATCGGTCTTGAGACCATGCCTTGCATCCCAGTTTCTTCTTTCCTCCCTGAGCCTTAGTTACTGAAGAATATAAAAACCCTCAATTAAAAATCAATAAACTGACAGCTTGATCAGACATCCTGTCTTGCTGTCCATTCTTTGTGTCTCTCGTCCCTTCATTCTCTCCTAGGTTGGTTGCGGCCCACGTTGACTGTCCTGCTGGACGCGACAGGGTGAGGCCCTATCAACCACACAGGTCATCTGGATACACTGGCTTCTGGCTTCCATTTAGCTCGGTCTCAGTTATTGTGGGCACTTGGGGAGTACCACCAGCAAGTCTACCTTTAGAGTGAAATAATCATTAATTAATTACAATGTAAGTTTATTTTAATACAAGGAATGCTGAAATACAAAAATGGATTTTTTTCCCATAATACACATTTCCCATGAATATTTTGTTACCAGATGCTCTTTCCTCAGCTAAGTATAGAAATAAGACCCCAGAAGTCAGTTGCAGAGAAGTTTTTCTTCAAAGTAACCAGTGAACGAGGAGAAGAAGCTCTCGTGGAGAGCCGGGAGATGGAACACCTCAGGAACAGACAGAGGGAGACGCCGGAGGTTTTCGGAAGGGTCTCGGGACTCCTCCATGACTGAGCGGGAATCAGCACGGAAGACATTCCCACTGGTCTTCCCTCAGCCTCACTCAAGGAAACGGCTGTAAAATTCTCCTGCCTCTCACCTAAATATGCACCCAAGATTTTAGCAAGCTTGGATGGTCTCAATTTGAAGCCTCCTCCTAAAAACATCACCCCGTTTTCATTTACAGATTAGAGACTAAATAGCTTTAAGAATTCAAGGAAATGCAAAGTTGAAGTAATCAACAAACATTCCTATTTAATTCGAGTTTGAGGATAAGCAAGAACCAGGAATAAAATAAGGACTGGAAGAGAAAAAAAATAGAAAGAGAGTAAAAAAAATAGTAAGAGAGAAGCAGGACAACATGAATACTCCCATGCAATTACTTCTTTATCTCACCTGCATATTGTAGGTGATGGAAATTGAAATGGATACAAATTTAAATGGGAACCACTTTAAGAAAACTATTGGAAGGAACAAGCAATGGAGTGAATGGAGAGAATCAAGGAGCAGGAGTCCAGTACTACTGAGTTGTGAGTAAACAGTAGAGACATTTGCCTTGGGTGAGGTGTACAAGACGAAGACTCTTTTGAAGAATAAGATCTTGTCTGCGCATGTATAACAGTCCCCGAACAGCCTGAGAGTTCCAAAAAGAGACCCTATCCATCTGTTTTTCTGTACCTTTCCAGAACCAAGCACAGTTCTGCCTCACTATAAAAGAATTAAAACTGGATTAAGCAGCTATAAAAGAATGATATGCAACGTTCAGGTACTACAGTAACAGGATCTTCAAGATCCCCAGAAGCTACACATTTGCAGTTTATTATTATGAATGTGAAAAGAACATGCTACTTCTGAAATCTTTCCATACACAATCACCTTCCTAATTTTAATGATCCTATTTTAAATACATACTAATTTCAATAGATGCTAGATAGCTAAGTTTCAGTGTTACTAAAATATATCCTGAACATTTCAATTGACTGGTATGAACAAGAAAATCTTGCAGAATATAAATAATTATTTCTGCTATAGGAGCTTCATACTCATGCCTGGCTTGGGTTCTGCATCCTTCCAGTATTCTTTTTGGAATGAAAGATACTCTACACAGAAAAAACTGGAATGACTAAGCTTTGAGTAAAGTCCTGCTGGAAATCTGAAACATCAGAACTTCGGATAGAAACTATGGAAAATGTGATGTGTGAGACTTCCCTGGTTTAGGGAAATGCTGGTAACACAAGGACAGATGTACAGGATTATGAATACAAGCCGGGAAAGAAATGAAAATAATGGATCATGGGATAAAGAGATTTATACAGCCCCCAAGTTTAATATGCAGGGTCAACCAGAGTTGATGATGACACCCATTGATAGTATCTGAATAAACGCTAGATGGTTAAAAGATTTCTGATAATAGGATTTTTAACAATAAGATTTTTAATAAAAACAAAATCAATGATTATCAGAATAGTCCCTCAGGAAAAGGAAATGCCAATGGACTCATATTCAACAAGCAACAAAAGAAAATATTTTTTGAAGTAAGCTAGGAAAAAAAACAACACATTTATCATAAGTAGCCTGATGATTTGCCAGAGAACTTGAACTTCCACACTTGAAGCTCATTTTCTGAAATCCTACACAGGTAAAATGGAAGACCATTTGACTGGAGATTCCAGATCAGGAATGCATAGGCAAGAAATGAGGTTCAACAAGCACTCACACATGGAGCCCAGGACGAGGCACCCCAATGTGTGGAAATGGCCACCTATGTAACAATTTCATTTTTTAAACACTCTAATGGTCTGGGCTAGTCCAAAAACCCTCAAAAGAAAAAGAGAATAAATGGTTAGCTCAAAACACTCCAACACAAAACAGGGCAATCCAAGAATATTATAATACACCTCTCATGAGTTACCAGCTAAGGCAGAAAGATACCACAAGTTAGACCAGAATGATCTTGCTACTCTAATCCTCCAGAGCCAGGAGCTATTGACATCTGCAAACATCTTACAAGAGAGATATTAGGAGTCCCAAAGAAACCAGAAAATAAAAGCAATTCTTCCAAATTACCAGGTACATAAAAGCCTTTGAAACCTCTAAGAGGCAATTGAGGCATGGAATGCATTCTGAGAAACAGAACTTTTAGCTGAATCTTGCCTGCTTTTAAAAGGGGATGTCTAGATTCTAATTTACATGGAAATTTTTCCTTCCAAAATAAAAGCAGACAAGAATGCTTGCTTGATCTGATGGGTGGGTAATATAAAAACCAGTATGTGCTGTAATCACTGTTCATCTTCAAAAATGACATTGCATGTAGGCCCCACTATGACTCACAGACAGCAGCCATCACCAGAAGGAAAGCAAAGCCCAACACCCATAGCCAGCACGTGAGACACATCTGGCAAGTTCACAGAAAGCTATGCTTGGTTACTTGCCAAAAATGGGGGAGGGCAGGTGTGTGCTTGATCATGCTCATTTGCAGAGCATGAAAGGAACCTCCAAATCAAGCCGTTATTTTCAACCACAGTTTAGGTCTAATTTTCCTTAGGCTAACTTTAAAAATTAGTGTCATAAAACTTAATGGTCTTGAGATAATGCAGGATTTTATAAAGCTGAATAGAAACAAATTTTAGGGAAAGAGGAAGAAATACATAAGTATGTTAACGCACCCAAAATTTTCTAAAAGACTTCATAAACACAGGGAAAGGTCAAAGCAAGGATAATGGAAGTAGGGGGATTGTCCAGTCATCTGCAAAAAGGCAATGAGAACAGTCAATGCAAATTAGGAGCATGCCTGCTGGGTTTAATCAATAGCAAGGATGCCAATGGTTACTGCAGAACACAGGACAAGAGTTCATTGAAGAAGAAGGCACATTTGTGACTATAACAGTAGCAAGAATGACTTTGCCCTTTGGTTTGAGAATACAAGACATCCTAATAAGGCAAAAGGTAGGACAATGGTAACATGGAAAGGAAAAGTGGCAGGATATATCAAAGTGGAAACAGAGAGGGAGTTATGAAGAGAAGAGAGAACTATTTTGAAAGTAGGTGTCAGAGGGAGTGGCAAGTGCAAAAGAAGAGGTAGAATCCAGGATGACTCCAGGATTTTGATTTGAGCAAACAATCAGACATGAAAAGGCACAAGAAGAGCAGACCACAGGACAGGGGTAGGAACAAGACTTAGGGTAAGCAAGGCCAACCGTCATCTAACAGTTAGGTGTCCAACCAAAGAGACTGAGAGACTCTGCCATTGAAATTTAGAAAAAAAGGAAGTCAGACACACAAATATGAATTGGAAGAATGGTTTGCAGTGGTCAGATCACATGAATGAATGTGTTCGCATAAAGAGGCTCTGTAAACTCCAAAGACTGAAAAGGACCCTAAGGAAGTTTTATATCTCCTAGAAAACTGTCATGTCCAAGACTAAACAATGTCTGTGCTAAAAGAGTATGTGGCATTGTCAAGCAATGGAATCCACAACACTATAAACAAATTAGAACATCATTAACAATAAACAACTTTGGTGAAAACATGAACAGAAAAACCAACA